TGATAGCGCGTTAATTAATTACGATTAAATAATTTTAGATTTTTAAATTTAAGTATCGAAATTTACCCACAATTATTTTTATTAATATTTGTTTATTATTAATTTAGTTAAAACGTTGTAATTTAAATTAAAATAGCATTAAAGATTGTAACATTAAAATAACAACACATACAACTTGCATTATAATAATATTTGCACTTGTTTACAACCTTACGTCACTTACCTTACGTAGGTAGGTAAAGTGGGGAGAGTAGGAACCGTTTATAAAGCAAGCAAGTTGTACGAGTTAGAGCATTCTCGTATCGAACACGAACGTGTAAAGATCAAATAAAATATTTATAAAAGAAATGAGTTATCGTTTTATTGGAGCCTTGTGAAGTACGCAAACCACCTCACTTGCGAGAAGACCTCATTTGGAGTCACCACCTTCATTTGATGGTTCAGCTCTTACATGTATGTAGGATGATAATAAAAAACAAAATAGTTGCACTAAACTTGATACATGTTTACCACTCGCCATGGCATGCAAATTTTTTAGCAAGTAATTATAATCTATACTAATGGCCTGGACTACCCTATTAAATTAACCATCGTTCCATTCACCCAAAGGTTGCCTGGTAGATATCGCTTTTAGCGATAAGGTCGCCCTTGTACCCTCCTTATTCTTTATAATATCCGAATATGTGTAATTACTTACTTGGTGTACAATAAAGCTTATTTATTATTATTAATATTATAAAGCTGTAGAGTTTGTTTTTTTTGTTTGTTTGTTTGAACGCGCTAATCTCCGTAACTACAAGTCTGATTTGAATAATTCTTTTTGTGTTGGATAGCGCATTTATCGAGGATGGCAATAGGCTATAAAACATCACGCTACGACCAATAGGAGTTGAACAGAGCGTGTGAAACCGCGCGAAAGTAGGTAGTAAATTAATATACATATACTAAATTCCAGGCTAAATAATTCGATTTTAAATAATTATAATTAGATTTTTTAATAATTATGAGTATACTAGCTTTTACCCGCGGCTTCGCTCGCGTCACAAAAGGATAAAAAGTAGCCTATGTGACATATACCAATACACACAGCGCCATCTATACCAATACTTTTGTTATCCCTCGGAAATATCAATTTTTCCGGGATATAGAGTACCCTATTATTTAATCCAGACTTCTAACTTTATGTCTGCAAAAATTCAAAGCAATCGGTTAAGTAGTTACGGCGTGAAAGCGGAACAAACAAACAAACAAACTCACTTTCCAATTTATAATATTATATTAGTAAGGATTTATTGACTTTGATCAGCTACACAATTATAAGCAAAAAATAATAATATATTCATGGTACCTACTTATATGTATAATTTAATTTCACAATTAAAAAAAATTGTCAAACAACTACTTACCCTAGGCTGAGCCTTACTCCTCGGCATAGGTCGCGGACGATGTCTCTCAGCGGCGCGGAGCTCAAGATACAATGGTGCCAAGCGGGTAGATCCTCTATAAATCCATTCCCGTCTGCCATCGCCGACAAATACAACTTGAGCTAGCGACGCATCTACTCGGGCGACGCGAGATGACCACCATTTGCCTAAAATGAACATAACATAGCATCACGCCTTTTGTTCCCGAAGGGGTAGGCAGAGGTGCACATTACGGCACTTAATGCCACTATACAATGTAACACCCACTTTTCACTATATATGTTATGAGTCCCATTTAATAGGGGGTGAGCCTATTGCCATATACTGCCGGGAAAGTATTACTGGGTTTTTCAAAAAATTCACAGTAGTAGCACGGAGTCTGGAATTATGCCCGGTATATGGCAATAGGCTCACCCTCTACTACATGGGACTCATAACATGAATAGTGAAAAGTGGGTGTTACATTGTACAGTGGCATAATGTACACCTCTGCCTACCCCTTCGGGGATAAAAGGCGTGATATTATGCTTTCACAGTATGTGCTATTTTTGTGCGCTTTTGTATAGTTCTGTCTCTACAAATTCCTTGTAAAACGACAGAGACGGCACGATACTTAAGTACAATTTAAAATTGCCTTTCAGTATTGCGGCGTTACGTAATCAAATTTAATTTTAAAATACTCACCATTCCACTCAGTCTTCAGATTCTGTCCCTCATGCAGCCTCACCATGGGCCTCTCAGGATAAGCAAGGAGGTATTCCCTCACAAACTCCCTCGAGAAGGGGTGCACCTCCTCCCACACGAGGGGGGAGCTCTCACAGACCAGGCGCGTGTATTGGTGCTGCACGTACTGGGCGTAGCCGTCGTCGAAGAATACTAGATACCTAGGGGGAGGGGGGAGGGGAGGTGTTATATCCAAAATAATAATTCCTAGAGAAGAGGAGTATCTCTATTAGTTTTAATTTAGTTTGCCAATATTGGGGGGTTCATGTCAAAAGTAAGATGGCAATGCAAAGATAGGGGATTTAATAGATTATAAGTGAGTTTGGCCGCTTAAATTGAAGAAAGGGGGAGGGGGTTATTTAGGAAAGTATATAACAGTCCCCATCGTAGTGGCTAAGTGGACTATAATATGGAGTTGTGAACAGTAATATTATAATAATAATAATAATAATAAGCCCGCAGGGCACCTTGAGGCGAGGTGACGGGCATTAGCGATCCCGCGGGCTACCATCATCCCGAGTGCTCCAGGGAGAAGTCACCGTTCCTTCTT